AGTACGGTTGATGACGTAGGCACGTTGGTGTATGTAGATGCAGACTTTGCCAGCAAGGCCACTGACCGTAGATCAGTTTCGGGAGCACTAGTCATCGTAGCTGCTTGTCTTGTAGCTTGGCTTTCTTGGACGCAGAAATGTGTTTCACAGTCGACTTCTGAGGCAGAGTATCTTGCGATGGGCGATGGTGTGAAGGAGTCTCTGTTTGTGAACGGAATGCTTCAGTTCTTGAGGCCTAGTGTAGAGCCTCGTAAGATTGACGTCCTTGAGGACAACGAGGGAGCGATTGCGCTCGCAGAGAATCCGCTTAGCTCGTGCAGGAGTAAGCACATCGATGTGAGGCACCACTTTCTTAGGAATTTAACCGAGGAGGGTGTGATCGAGATCACCCATGTTCCCAGCGAAAAACAACATGCGGACATCCTCACGAAGGCTCTGCCGAGGAGTATTTTTGAAGTTCACCGTGACTTTGCGTTGGGCTCTAGGAAGTAGGAGTCTGAAGAAACGTTTTTGTTTGACAAACTACATGTTATGGGTCTGGTAAGATACAACAGCCCCTAGGGAGGGTATTGGTGATGTAGCGGCAGTGTGTATCGGTTGAACTGCTGCTGTAGATCATCTGATTGGATGGTTTGAATATCAGAACTGTCTGTCTGTGTAGTTCCAGAGAAAGTTCCTTGTGGAAGTTATACTGTTCGGAGTTGGATCAGCAGATAGTCAGTAGGGTGCACGTTAGGTGCACGTTAGGTGCACGTTGTGTGGACGTTGCATGGATGTGGCACGTGGGATGATTACCCTCAACAGGAATTGTTCTAGTTCGGTTGTAGGGATCGGAACATTACGTTGTTGGAACGTTGCGAGTAGTATATTGTTCCGATAGTGTTTGTGTTGGCGTGTTGATCGTTGGCTGGGGTGCTGGGAGCACACAAGCTAGCCCCCACACGCTGTCACTCCACTTTGCCTACCTGTCTCAGAGGGCAGTTTCTCAATAATACAACATCTTTCTCCAAGAGCCAAGGGTTTACCAACAGAGGGGAAGGGCCTATACGACCTGTGTACCGTGGGAATACTGTAGGCATGCGACATGTGTAACCTGGCGGGTGTGTATTGATGGTGAGTATGTTGTCTATAGGTCCGACCAACTGCTTCAAAAAGAAGAGCAGATCACAATTGAACAAACAAAAAACACACCTTCCCACAAGTCCAGATCACACCTACCTACCGTCATCGAGAGAATCCGTCGAGGGCGTGAGGGTCTACTACTACTGCTACTGCTGTGCGATATCAGGATGGTTCCCCGCGGGATCGGTTCAGATTGCGTACTTGCGCCGCGCTACTGACTGTCTTCGCAAAGAAAGCCGTGCCCTGCATGCTGTTGTTGCTGCAGGGCTGCAGCAGAGCCTCTGGGCCCCCTGCATCAAAGTCACGACGTCAAATGACCATCAACGGCTTTTTGTTGTTTTTGGTTCATGCTGGACAGCTTGCTTTCACTTGGGCTGCAAATTCGGAAGGCTTGAGACGCAAGTGGCGGGCAAGTTATGAGCCTGACGCAATAATATTTGCCATCTGTCGTGTCACAATCCTATGTCTACGCTGCTGGTCGTGCTCCTCGACGGTATGATTTGTGATTCGCTCGCCGCCAGGATGCCGCATGTGTATGTACTTCTGTGTCCGCACCGCGGGAAGGCTTCACATTTTGTTTCTTCGTGCAGGTGCATCAAAACGGAAAGAAACAACCGCATGCAAAGTGCAAAATTTTGAACGGTGGCGAAAACATACAATCATCGTCGCTCCCGTCGCGCGCTTGTGCTGTCCCTCAGGTGCACGCGTAGCGGCACCACAAACGATTGAAGCTGGTGTGTGTCGGGATTCGTGCACCATCAGCACCGCACACAAGACTACTGGAAGGTATTGAGTTGCACCACGCAGCTCAAACCCCCCGATACCTGGTAGTACTGTACACGGTCGCGACTCAAGACCTACATCAGTACAGAGCTTTGAGCTTTCGCGACACATGCTGCCAATCTTACCTGTGCAGGACATGTAGTCTAGAACTTGGAAGAACCTTCACGTCAAGGATGGGAACAGGTGGTGCTTGTGAACAGGTTGACCGGTTTCGCCAAGACGACAACACACACTACTACAGTGGTATGTAGTAGTGAGATGTTGTGTAGTATCGAGGCCGAAAGAGTGGAAAGCAAGACAACTACTGCATTCGCGTGGTATGCATGTACGATACGACGGCGTACATGAAGCGGGAGGATTATTGACGTTTCAGGAGCGGCGGAATGTCACGTCGGCGTCAACGCACCAACCGTTGGCCGTTGGCGGCGTTCTCTCGCACGAGAAACACAGGGAGCACCTTGAAATATCGATAGCATACGTGATCCGAAGCTGATTAACCCGAAGAATGTTATCCCTAAGACATAATGCCTACCCAGCACAATTTCTCACACACTTAGGCTGTCGTTCTGCAGATGAGACATGCGATGCAAGCATGCTGCACATCAACTACAGTCAGTAGTCTAGACGAAGCAGATGCGCACTACAGACTGTGTGTGTATTTTATTATTAGCATCGACCGCACTAACCGGCTGACCAATGAAAAGATGTCAGTCTTAGTGCGGTTGAAAACACGAAACACTTCTATCTAACATGATGAACTGTGTGTGTTTTCGTCCTATTTATTATGGCGACAGTCCCCCCATTTTTCGTGGTGAGACGTGTACTACACTTTTCAGTGTATTTTTTCGTACAACTACAACCATCCAGGGTCAAACAGGAGGGGGTAAACACCAGGGCTTTTTTCTTCTATATATTTCTTTTCATGCCCCACCTTCCTCCGGTGCGTGCTGAAAATAATTTTTGCACTACAGACTGTATCAACATTAATGTCTCTACCGCGCCCCCCGCATCTATCCTGAGCGCCAGTCTATACCTCCTAGAATATGCTTGGCGCATCATCAGCCGTCGCCACACAGGACGAAGTTGTAACTTCCTCCATGCGGTGCTCGCCTGAAACTGGTAACGCGAACCATGGTTCAGCCCTTTGGAGTGCGTGGCCGAGCTTTTCACTTCTAGACTCCTGTATTACATTCCGGTTTCACTCCGGGACGTTCTCAAACATCGGGTTGCCATCGATCGAGGTGCAAGTGTGTACTACGGGAAGAATCGTGCCCACAAGAACCTTGCCTTGCAATTGATAATGATGTGTTGCACCCATCTTGTTCGTACAAAAAGCGATTGACTATGTACATAGTCTTGAAGATTTGGTCACTTTTCATGCTTTGGCGTTTCTTTCTCTCGCGGCAGCGAGTCTTTTCTCGCGGCTCCTTCTCAGGAGCACGCAGGAGGCTCGTCGGTACATTAGGGCCCGGCCCGGAGCTCGGTAGGCCTTCGTGACGCGTGCGGTTGACGGCCAAAGTTGCGAAAACAAGCTCAAAACCCCGGGGACGCGTTCCGCGCTGGCAAAGCCTGGCGAACCAGTTCTGAAACCTATCAAACCCATCAAATACGACGACATAAAATGTTTGAAATGTTTGCCTCTGCTTCTACACATTCATTCGTTCATTCTTTCGATGATTCATGGCTGTGACTCTTCGTGTCATCGCATTCTCCAACAGCAATACCTACGTTTACATTTCGCAGCGGGTCAAGTGTGGACAAGTCTGACAGCATGCATCCAGCCGCAGTGTAGAACATGTCCCAGTTGCGGTATTGTTTCGGCTATTTTCGGTTCTCAAAGGACATCTGCCATCATCAATCAAGACATCATGAGAGTCTGAGTTTTCGCACCCAAAATATTGTCCGCTCGAGCTGGCTCCAATGTAGAATAACAGCGTGCGCGATGTTTTGAGCGGGAATACAAGCAAGCGTTGTAAGACACACAGTCCCTCTTCGGGCGATGCGCATGTGGTCTTGCGTCACCTGAGGGAGGGTAGACACCCACGTCCCGAAGACCTTGAAAAGTAGTATGTATTGTAGACGTCATGTCCCTTCGAGCGCCGTGACGACAAGCGACAATTCTTATCCGAAAGCTGGCGAGTGTTCGTCCTGCCACAGCCACCCACCCCCCCAAACGTCCCGTTCGTCCACCAACAACATTCATCGACCCCTGTCATCCATTCATACATGTCCACGATGTGTTTTGCTTCCCATGCTTGGCGTAATAAACACGTGCCTGTATTCGCTCAGACCGCAATTTCCGACCTACATACATGCAGACTTCCTGACCATGTGAACCTCCACGCGCCAACAAAACCAAGAACATCAAAAGGCATGGCCACTGCTGCTTCACGAAATAGAAACCAACCACTACGATGTCATGGCCGATGCTGCTACACGAAACGAGAAGAAGACCCAACACCATCATTTTCCTCCACAACTTGGCTTACACGTACCCACCCTAGTCCAAATCTCTCCGGGAAGTTCGATGCAGAATCTACAATTCAAGCTACACATGACCTCCTCTCGGGGATACGTATGATAGGTTGTATTTGTGCCAGTACAAGTAGAAAACGCCAGATGCTCATATCAACTTCATGCCTTTCCTCCCGATGCCGCAACTCAAACGTTCCGTCACCACAAGCTCAATACAATGCAGGTTGAGCCTTGAGCGGCCGGAATCTCATGGGAGAAGTCCGAACGTTCCGCCTCCAGTGATTCCCTCTATGATACAGATGAACACGTGAAACACACTCTGTCGTGCCCTATCTGGAGGTAACTGTATGGTTAGGTGTTCAACACTTGTCGTATTGGTGGCAAAGACATACAATCACGCCCGGCCATGGTTTTTCAAAAAAAAGTGAGTGCACATCTACTACCAGTTGTGTACATTCGATGAGCACACGAGGATGCAACATAAAAACGACAACGCTGCAAGCTTCCGCTCCTGTGTAATTCTCTGCGGCATCCCTTCCAGAAGCTGCGCTGCGCTATACGAAATCACACAGCAGATGGCCCCTCCGCGCCCATGGTGAGATGGCTCAGAAGAGAGGCAATACTGGTGCTGTCGCCGCCGCTGCCACGTCCTCCCTTCTTCGCCTTCTTGTTTGAGCTCAGTGTGACGGAGAACCTTGTCCACGGTGGGGCGACGGGACGATAGGAAGGTACGAGCGAAGCCGATAGATTTTTGGAAAGTCTTGAAGAATGCCTCCTTCTAACGACGAAAGGGTCGAAAGTGTATTACGGTTGCTCTTGTTTTGGGTCCAGTAGGTAATGTAATGTAGCATTTGCCGCACCCCGTCTCCGCAAACACGCACAAACGTGTGACGCCCGGTTATTGGAACGAAACGATGGGCCACACGCTTAGTATCACAATCGGGCGAACGGTTCTGCCGCAACGACTCTTCAAGCATTGTTTACAGCCCTGGAGGTCAATCTCTCGCCCCCTTGTCCCGTGACAAAGGAATTGTGGTGAGTCCCCGCATGTACAGCCAAGGCCGGAGTACAAAATATTCCCGAACCCTGAATCATTTGCCGCACGACCTCCGTCTAGTTCTTCGTTTCAGCATGAGCATTGCCAGCTTCGGAGGCGTGCACGGTCGCCGCTGTTTCGGAACAGAGAAAAAATCGTAGAAATGGGCAGGAATAAACTGCCGCACTTGCATGTGCGTCTGAGAGCTGTGAACTGAAAAGCTGGCCGGATCTAGGGGTGCGGCGCGCTTGTCATTCCATCTCTACGCCACTGCATATGGAGTAAACAAGAGCTGGGAGTATTCGGGGCGTCATCTTGCTTCAATGGCTATGTGTTCCGTGTGGTTTCAATACGGCAAGGAATCGATGACGACTGACCCCGAAGGCAAAAGACCGACAGGGGTGGTTCCAGCTGTCGTCCTCTCGGCGAAAAGACACGGCGTATCACCTGGGATGAGCTACAGTCGTGCTTCATTTGAATGGCAATAGACGGGCGTGGTATTAGCATAGCTCTGAACGTTTTCAAATTGAAAGCGTTATTATGGAGACTCATCAACGGTCCCGCGAGAGGTCGAGCCTAGGCGGTTGCACTCTTCACCTGGCAACCGCGCTCTCACGGTGGTTCTGAAGCTTCTGCTGCAGCTCGACTCCTTCGCCCAGCCATGCGTTCTCCAGCTTGGTCGTAGAGCTAGCTCCGGGACCCGGCCCAAAGTACGACTCTAAGCCCTTCAGCGTCGACGCGAGCTTCTCCACCCTTCACGGGGTGGAACATTCCGGTGCGCCATGAGCGAAAGCGGACGTCGGTCGCCATCCCTTGGTTGAAATACAAATGGCACTAAGAAATAGGACTCCGTGGCAACATTTGTCTTTCCTCGAATCCCGAGCGCTGGATCTCCCCAAACCGGACTTGAGCGACCCCAAAACCGCAACACACCACCTTACCGGATGGAAACCCAAAATCTCCGATGAAATTGTACGTACCTGTCTCTGGCAGCCTGCCGCTGCTCCTCGTGCTGGAGGGTCAAGACCCTGACAGCTTCCCTCGCAGCCACAACGTCCTCCTCCGCCTGCCGCCCCTGCTCGAGCAGGTCTTGGGCCTGTCGGCGCCAGTGCTTGCTGACCGCTTGACACACTCTGCTTGTTGTTGGGTTCGAGGGCGCCAAGGGTCGGTTGGTCGTGGAGACTGGAATGGCAAAGCCTTTCAGGTGTAGGACTGTAGGATATATGGATGAGGCTGTCCTCGTCACTCTCACAGCATTGTTGTTGCACTTGTGCTCTCTTGTGCTTGGTAGTTAACGTTCCTATCGCTGCGGGAGAGAGAGAGAGAGAGAGAGGATGGACACCGTGACTGGAGGGCAAAGCGTCCTTCAGAAAAAGTGAAGGACGTACGCTTTGCGTCTCTTGCAAGCGTGGGAGGGTGGACCTTGCTTTGTAGCAGTCGTCAAAACGGTTAGACCCCCCATCCCTGCCACATGTGTGTCGCCGACAGCATATGTTACACAGGAAACACCACGCTGACATGCCTCACCTCTCGACGTAGTCCCTGCACTCCTCCCGAGTGGCTTCCACGGCGCTGTCCGTCTTCCGCTTCTTGATCCGCTTGGTCCGCGCCTGCGAAGCCGCCACCAGCTGCCTGTAGATTTGAGCTAAGGGAGAAAGCAAGCGACGGCAGCTTCATCGATGGCGTATTGGTCAGGCGAGGTACTTGGCAATCATCCTGCTACTTTCCTGCAGTACTTGTTTCGTCCAGAGGTTCGAGTGCTTTGGGAGAATGCTCTTCACCAGAAGCGGGACCCTAAGCAAGGCAATTAAGTCATGCATTGGAAAGAGTACGCCCATTACACCAGATCTCAAAGCTGCGACATAGTTTCACGACCCCATGTGCTCTGCCATCATCAAAGCGTCGCGTTTTTGAAAATGCAGGAAATGTACCCCATTTTTCCAGTTGAAATGTACCCCTCTAGATCGTTCGATCAAGTTCAGGTTCGTCCCTCCGACATCGTTCGAAGTGTACTCTTCTCCTGCTGGCCTTCGAGTGTCCAAACCTCGAAAGCACGGCCATCCTTACCTAGGATCAACGAATCTTCTTCTCCACCATCCTCGTCTTCTTCTCCCTCTTCGGCCTCCTCGAGGTCGTCCTCATCGAGATGGTAGTCGTTATCGTCGTCGCGGTTGCCGTTGCCCGTACCTCCATCTCTACCACTCTTTCCCTCCTGCTCCCTTCCTTCCTCCTGGTTCTCATAGCCCTCATCTCCAAGATGCTGCTGCTGCGGCGGCTGCTGCTGTCGGGTTCGCCTACCCGTCTTCGCTGGAACAGCTCCCTGCCTACCTTCGGTAGGGGCAGCACCACCGCCGCTGGTGCTGCGCTCGCGAAGTTCTTCGTCCGAGCAATCGCTTGTTGGGCTGTCTGCCTCGTCGAGTACCTCGCTTCCGTCCTTGTCGCACTCCGCACCTCCCTGGAAGCGTTTCATAATATGTATATTGCGTTCAACATGTTTTTTCTCCAGCAAAGTGGTGCTTGATTGAGGGCCTTCGTTCCATTTCCGCTGGTTCGGGACAATGTTTGCTGTGCTCTAACCACAACATTTGTTATCATCACGAGTCGTTCGTTTTACTCCTACGTGTTCATTGTCGGAAGGCAACGAAAAAACCAAATGAGAGCCGATCTCCGGTGTCCCGTCCCTCCTCTTTCCCTCATGATTGCGATCACATCCACGATCTTCGGGAACTATCCGCTGCACCCACAAAGGACACGGGCTCCTCGGGTATTGTTGGCACTACCAACTCCGCCAATGCCTTACCCAACTGCTGCGAAGTCCTAAAACGTTTCATACGGCCCCCTCCAGTGAGATGTTTACGATGAACAAATCAACGGGGTACTTGTTCCTGTTTCAAAATATGATGATACGTCTCGGACCATCAACGCACCCTGACGGAAGTTTGTCGGCAACAACGTGACGCTCAACAACAACAGTAACAACAGCCGCAACGACAACAGCGACAGCAGCAGCAGCAGCAGCAGCAGCAGCAGCAGCAACAGCAACAGCGCAACAGCCACAATTAGGACGCCCGTCACCTCCACACCACATCTCCCCACCTCGTCCTCCTCGACGTACTCGGCGTCGTTGTCGTTGTCACCGTCGCCTTCGTCCCCACAGAGAGATTGCTGGCTGAGACTCCCAACACTGCCTGCGGTCTCGTCAACCTGCACATGGGCCCTGAGTTTCCTCTGCTCCGAGCTCTGCTCCGCGCTATCCTCTCCTCTAGAACCTGTGGCTGCAGCAGGAACCCTGGTCTGATGCGAGGAGCCCTTGCGACCGCCGGCATTGCCGTGGGGGGGCTGCCGAGAGTTGGTGCTCGATTCTGTCAAATGCGTTGGAGAGAGGGGGAGGCGGCCGCCGCCGTTTGTTCTCGGGGTTCTCGCCTTGTAAGCAAAAAAGAGAACATATGCATTTTTTGCTATTGCTGTGCCGTCGCTCCGGTGGTATAGTTGGTAACTTCGACAACCATCGGGATCTATTTTGTGAGTTCGCAGTAGTGGAACATTAAACAGGGACGCGACTGCTGAAAAATTGTCGAACGTTTTGGATTAGCCTCGTTTACGCGTTGTCAACAACAAAGTTTCTACTTGTACCCTTGATGACATGGCGCGGACACAAAATAACCCGAGGATCGTGCGGAGTGTCGAGGGAAAGTAGGGTCCGAGGTGCAGCGGGCAGAACGGACATTATCCCGCATAGCTCCACGTGTACCGTCACAGGTCATGTGAGGCGAGTTGAAGGAACTGGTGCCAGCGCAGGTCATGTGAGGCGATAGCACGAGCTAAAAAGATATTGATATTCCACGCAGGGTAAGAAAGTACCTGCATCACAATCGGACGACGACGACGACGACGACGACGACGGTGACGGCGGAGGGGATCGTGCCTTCAGTGCCCTCGAAGCGGCCTCCCTCCTCGACGGCCTGTTTCTGCCACCGCGAGCGGCACCTACGTTGAGGCTGTCACCTCCTGCTCCTCCTGCTCCTCCTCGTCCTCCTCCTCCTGCTCCTCCTCGNCTCCTCCTCCTCCTCCTCCCTCCTTCTCCTTGCTCCTATCAACACCGCCGCCGATGCGGCCACTACCGTTGGAACTCCCGCTTCCTCCGCCACTATCACTGCGGCCTTCTGCCGAAGCAACCACGACCGAACGGGTGGAAGTCCCGAGCTCTTCGCCCTGCTTGGAAGACGACGCATGCTGCTTCTGGTCCTCGTCTACCCCCCAAAGGCGACGGTAGCGCTCCCCTTTGGCAGAAGCGGCGCCGACCTCCTCGACGGTCGCCGACGCCTTCGATGACCCTCCGCCGGCGAAATTGGTACCACTGCTTCGCGCGCGCCCCAGCCGCCTGGAGATAGAGGCGGCGGTAGACGGGGTGTTCTTGCTGCCGCTAACGACACTGCTTCCGGGCCCGGATACGGCACCGCCTGCATGAATCAAGTACATGTGTTGACAGCGAGAGGTAGCTTGGGAAAGAAGAACCGGTGTGTTCAGGCACATACGACAATCTCGGGAGTCGGTAAATAACCCCCCTGGAAGCTGCAAGTGTGGGGAAAATGTAAGGGGCTGTTCAGATCTAATGAAAATGTCGCTCTCTGAACGGAAGCGATCATTTACGTTACGCCGAGTGTATGGTTTCATTGAGCAAAACAAAATGCTGCCGACCATGGGCTGTACTGCCCGCACAGACACAGCAACAGCTGCTTCCACCTGCTTTCGTTGCCCTCGGCTTGGCTTTGGCCTTGCTCCTGGGCGTCACTTCCTCAAGGCGGTGGCGCCCGTCACTGCCCTTCTCACAATAACCTTCGTCACCGCCGTCGTCTTCGCTGATATCCCACTCGGTGCTCCCACCCCGGAGGGCCGATCCGCCATCTCCCGTGGCCGCCCGCACTTTGCCAGAGCTGTCCCTGTTTCTGGATCCTGTCTCGACACGCGCCTGCTGGCATTAATACGTGAAGGAGGAAATGTGTCATGTTTCCTCAAGCGGCGGAGATTGTTCGTGGCGGCATCCGCAGGGAAACGATGCATTCTGCGGGACGAGATGTTCTCCAAAACCGCCTCACAATATCATGCCCTGAGCGGGATGGCGTCTAGAGTAGCACTGACCCCTTTGTCGTCAACTCTACAGTGATTCCCCCAAGCGTGCCTACCTTCCGTTTGGCCGTGGCTGATGCTGGAGCGAGATCGAGGTGCCGGCGGGGAGCCATCCAGGAGTCCCCGTCGTCATCATCACGGGCGGCCGTGGCGTCGTCGTCGTCGGAAATACTCTTGAAGCTCCCTCCCGAGCTTTCCCTGGCCTGAAGGCTTGAGTCATGAGCCGTCACGGCGGCGCCCTGGGCGATCCTCCTGAAGGATCCGGCCGCCTGCCGGACGTGTGGTGTCGTTGTTAGACCACCCGGAGCGAAAAGATAGTCAGAGAAACTCATGTCAAGCGAACAAGGTATGCTTCATGAATGCACGTGAAGGACTGAATCGGCGGGGAAGAGTTTCGAGAATGGAGATCTGGGAAGAGATTTTTACAATGGTGTACACATGTGTGCCCGTTCTAGGTGGTGCAATAGTCATCTCACCACGTCTCCTTCGAAACATGGTGGCGTAGCTCCGTTCCTGCTGGCAAACGAAGTGCCGATGCCCAAACATCACCCCGAGGTTTTCGTACAACCGTTTCACGTTGCTTTTCATCGGCATTGGGTGAAAACCTACGGTACAATTGCGGCTTCGTTTCTCGCTCCCAAAGCAATGATCCTGGGGGGCGAGACTGGTTGGGGTCGAGAAAAAACTCAAGCGCGAATACAAATGGCTTGCCCCCGGACAGAAAGGGTGCCTCGATGCTCGGCCCCATTCATATGTCTTACTCAATCACGAAAGAAGGGTGTACTTATAGCAGCAGACAATAGCCCACAACACACTCATCCATGTTTTCCTATTTCTCTCTCATGTACTTCTGCCGAAAAGCACCAAAAACGCATGCTCACAACTCACCCATACAAGTGTACATATTGCTTGGACGACAAAGGAGGACCCCTACATCTGGAACCGTGTTTACCCTCGGAAGCAGCCACCCTCCGTACACAAGAGCTTTACGAATTACCACCGTTACCCTCCCGGTTGTCGGTGGTGGGACGTGAAAGGGAACTCCCCCGTCATTAAACCAAACTACGCTGTTCCAGCGGCCTAGAGGGTGGAGGACTTGAAGAGATACTGTCGAAGACGCAGCCATGACCCACGTCACCTGAAAAGCCGTCAACTTCCGTGACCATGCTCTCACCGGGGTCGGTACCTCGCCTTTCGCGTGGTCCGTGATCCGCTTCTTTTTCGTAGAACACTTTGTGCTGGTGTTCGCTCTTGCTGCCGCCGCCGGGGCCGAATCGGGTGTATCTATTGGCGTATCGAGCGGCGCCTTGTGCGCCCTCTTTGCCTGTGTGGCCGGCCATGGCGGAGACAGAGCGGGATAGAAGGACGAGAAACAGGCGAAGAAGAGCTTGAGTCAGAAAGAGCGGAGGGAAGGAGGGCGTGTGGAGAGGGACGGAGGGTGTGTGGAGAGGAGAGGGAAAGATGTGTGGAGAGGAGAGAGAAAGAGAGAAGAAGAGCGAAAGAGAGAGAGATGAAAAAGAAAGGGTCAGTCATAAAGCAACGTAAAAGTCGTGCGTGTATGCGTGCAAGAGCAAATACTCAGACGGGGCAGGTTGTGAACACTGCTCCGCATGATCTACGGCAAGAACCTCCCATGGCAACGTCTCAGCTCTTGCCTGAATCGTGGCCTTTAGATTCAAGAAGATCACACGCACGTAGACACGCGGCTCGTGTCAAAACTAGGGTCGAAGCAGTTCCTACGCGAAACCTCTGGGCAGCAAGAACTGCTTCGCATATGATGCTAGTCGTGTGAGCAGGGATGGGACTATTTGAAATTGGCGTTCGTCGAGAAACCCACTCCTCCGCAGGGTCAGTTCCACCCGGAACGCGTAGAGGTAAGCTACCAAGTGCTGAATGCCGCTGAGAACTTACTCCTACGTAGGCGCGCCGTTGTTTGACTAGAAAAAGGTGCAATATATTCCACCCCAGTTCTCCGGTACATAAGGCGTTAAACCGTTTTTCGGTACGTTGTCAGAACATAAAGAACAAGGGCACGACGGGTGTCAACGATGGAAGTACCGGACAACGTTTGATCACCCAAAACATCCTGATGGCGGTGACATCCCGAGTAGTTGAAGGCCATCGCCTACATACTGCAAGAACCATGGCCACACAGTTGCCGGCATCGTCGACCGGTTCCCGCAGCAACGCCGCCAATATTCTATTGTCTGTCGATGAAAAGCTTTTCGGCCTGCCTGGCTTCGACTGTTGTTGTTGTTGTTGTTGTTGTTGTTGTTGTTGTTGTTGTTGTTGTTGTTGTTGTTGTTGTTGTTTTTGTTTTTGTTTAATGCTGTTGTACTGCTGCTGCTGCTGCTGCTGGTCCCCGTCAAAACAATCGTTTCTAGCCTCTGGGCATCCAGCGCAGCCATCGTGCTCAGTGTCGATACCAACCAGTGTAGCGACGAACTTTTCCCCTGAACAGTACCGTCCAACTCCCAGCCCTCGCCCGATACTCGAAAGGGAAACCAACGACGCGCGTGGGATCAGGACACCACAAGGGTTAGCTACTTTTACCGTACCTTGCGGCCAGAGCTAGCCTTCTTCCTCGTGGCGGTTTGGTGTTCCCCTCCCCGGGGGCTATCGCTGCGCCCGTCTTTCCGGGGTGTCATGCGAGACTTGCCGTGCAAGCGAGACAGAACATTGGGAGGCATGGTCACTCTGTTGTGCTTCGACGTGGGGCGAGATTTCTTCTCGTTTGAATGCCGGGCCTGGATGGACAGAATATTCTGGGAGGCTGTTTAGCGGTGCTGGTTCGACGAGAGATGAAAACCAAAGGATTGTTTATGTGGGTCGCAAGCATAGAAAGTCCTCCAGGGTATTTAGATAGTGTACATGAGAGAAAACTAAAGTGTGACAAGCATGTGTGGGCATGGCCGGAGAGAAGCTATCGAGCGGTAGCCGCGATGCAAGCGTGGTAGATCAAAAAGAACCATTGGCTCTCAGCGAGTTTTGGGGGTCGGTACGCGTATGCCTATCGGCGGGGGGTTGGCTCGGTATGCTCCGTCAACATGGCAAGTGCAGAAAAGAACAACATGCTTGCCGTGTGCCGAACAATATCCATCTTTTGCGAAGGCAACAAGGCTCCAATCACAAACGATGAGTGCGAGGAGGAAGGGTGTTGCCGTGCTCGAACCGCCTCATGAAACAGTGAGGTGTTGAAAATCCCTGTGACTGTTGACGGTTGGCACAAAACGAGGTATGACACGAAACGAGGCAAGGGTTAGGCCCGTCACCCAAAGGCACCACGAGCGGGAGCGAGTCGAGAGCGCAATCTCCCCACACGTCCCCTCTCACCCGGCTGCTCACAGAGCTGGCCAAGCCACACGCGGCCCTGGGTCGCTTCCTGTGGTTCGTCTGCGACTCCTCTTCGTCGTCATCGCCGAGGTTCCCTTCAACGCCCTCGGCACCTTCCACTTCATCGGAAGGCTTGAAAACCTCCGCGTGCTCCAGGGCCAAGGAGCCCTTGGTTGACTTGGAACCCGTGCTAGGCTTGGCCTCGTTGGCCACATCGGGAACCTTGGATTTCAGAGCAGCGATGGCCTGGGCACCACGCGGAGGACAGGATAACGGGGGCGAGCGCGGGAGTTGGGGGGGGCGCTTTAACGGGGGCTGTGGTTTTGGACCGATCCCTGCGATTCCCCATGGTTAATCAGTGAGACATCGAGGTTCCCCTTCGATTGAATCGGCGAAACCCCAACAGCCTTCAGGGAAGACGGAAAGAAGCACTCTAGAACTGCATAAAATCCAACAGCGAATCCAAGAGAGGACGCGACAGTCCTTCGGCAAAGCCAACGAAAGTATTCCTGCGATTGCCTTTGCTCCCATCACACTCTCGAGGGGCTGAAGGAGCGCGAGGCTGGTATTCTCGCTCGGTGCCCTGTCGAGGAAAACGCTCGTATCTCTCCAACCTGTGGCGTGGGCGTGTTCCGTTCTCGCTCGCCTGGGCACCAACCTCACGCCGCGAACGCCTCAACTTGGCTGTTAAACACCTAAAAAGTCGCCTCCCTACGTTGTCCATAACGTTCCCAGCCCCAAGCACCGCTGTTCAGCGGCAAAAGCACCCCTTGCCCAACTATCTCGATCCAACCGCGATGGTTTGCGTGCCCCCCACAAGAATGGCGGATCACCTGTCGGAACCGGTTGAACATTTGTGAGCCACCCTCCAGCTGAATGATGACCGTGCAGTTCGCGGTTGCCGCATTCTCTTCCGGCGGGGTGCGGACCAGCCTTGCCAGCGCCGGGCACTATTTAAGGGTGGGGGGATGGAAGGGTAGGTGATGCCGTTTTGCGAGTGCCGCTGTGTAATGTGTGTGTCGGTGTTGTGTTGTTGTTGTTGTCGTTGTTGTTGTGGGCGTTGTCGTGGTTGCTGCTGCTGTTGCTGTTGCTGTTACTGTTATTGTTGATAGCGACAAGGATGATAGTGGTTGGTAGTGGCAGCGGTAGGTTGGAAGTGTTCTAGACCTTATCATCTGAAAAAATGCCCATGGGATCAGCAGAACGAACGAATTCTGAATATTTCGAAACGCACATGCTTTTGGTGTTTCCCGAATTTCCTTGGTCTTCACCACCTACGTGAAACTCGAACAAACCTACGCAGCAGCCGAGCGGCAGTTCCATTCTGTCCAGCTAGAGAGCGATAATAACAACCTACACAGTAGGGCAGTGTACAGTAGCAGTTCACAAGAAATATCGTGGAACGAGGAAGATATGTCATGACCGTGAGAAAACTTTCGGCCAATCACCGACGCACTTCGAGCAATCGATCATAAACGGTGGCGGCTGCTGCTGCTGCTGCTGCCGCTGCTACAATTTTTCCCCTGGTTTGATGGCAATACCTCGGACAGGGAGACGTCCACCTGCAGCGACCTAGCCCCCACCAGCACCTTGCTCGCCGCGGCGACTGTTTCTGCCGGGATGCTGATGAACACGCCACCTCCTCCTGTCGATGTCCCGCTGGATTTCCCCGGGGAGGCCTTTGGGTAGACCTGTACAGCCATGAAAATAATTTCTTACAGGTGGAAAATGAGGCAAGGTTGGACCATAAATAGACGCATTCGTCAAGGAAGCACCAACCCAGTAGTAATACCGTGAACGACAGCGATAGCAAGAGCAATACCAATGACGGCAGAAAAACTTCCAAGCGGCGCTATTCTACTTCTTGTGTACGCATGTTCGTTGTTCGACCGGGGGATAACGAAAAACAGACGAAAGGTGCGACCCCTCGCCTCCGGAACATCAGCACAGTCTCACTACCGTTGTAAACGATTTGGCGCAGAAACATGCAAGGACTTCGTCCCGCAAGAGCTGTCAATATCTACCATCGGCTCCACGCCTTGGAAAACGAATCATCTCTGGCTCATTTCAACTTACCCTCACGGTCCGTCTCTCCTAACTGAGGGGCTACAAGATTTTCAGATGGCACACCTTCTGCTGTGCACCCTGGACAAGGAACATCCTAGCGTGGGGGGAGAATGCCAGTCCAATGGGACGACGGAAAACTGCCCGGGATGCGCTTTAAGGAGTGAACCCACCCACCCACCCCCGACATCGCAACTCTCCCTGCCAGGGTGTAGGAGAGGCCAGAGAGGTCGATGGGGAAAGCCTCCTTGAGGGCCCGTACCGGAGGTTGCGAGCCGTATGGTATGAAAACTACTGCCCTTGAGAGAGACAGGGATATGGCCGGCCGAGTCTACGCCCGCGTAGCCAATCGCGCTTCCCGATACACTGGCAGACCACCGGACCGGCACTCGATTATTCGTGTTGTGTTGCCCGCGGGTCAACGTGCAAGGACCAGGTTTGCTGGTACATCGGTATGTTCGGAAGGGGAGAGGGGCGGGGGAAGCATGTACGGTGTGGGGCACATGGTATCAAACAAGGTAGGTTCAACGGATTGTAGTTCATACCTGGATGCTGATCGAGTCACCCCCGATGTCGAGGTGGTGTGCCTCTCCGAGGCGGTCGCGCAGACCTAACCCTCGCCACTCGGTCACCTGTGCGCCGAACGAACAAGAATGAGTAATGATGCATGATGTGAGAGACCGCGGAAACCTTCTCGGGTTCCTTCTGAAGCGTATATTTGAGTGGTCTGGAATAAACTGAAGAACCTTCGCGGGTGTTCGGCAACAAAGCGGGTCGAATGAGAATCACTCGGGATCCTCGCATCAATGGCAAGCACTTGGGACCTACCTGTACGGGAAAAAACAACGTCGTGTGTTTCGAACGATTCATTCAGCAACGGCTTCGTACAAGCTGTGTTGTGTGTGTATTTCCCCCGCTGAACAGACTGCAACGCCTGTATTTATCCTACAATTGCCCTGTCCGGGCTAGTGCCGACCACGACGATGCCAATCTACTCCCGGCAGGATGCCTTCCGAAAGCGCCGGGCAACCCAAGCCTTCTCGCAGTCGTCCGCCAGCAGATCGTCAATAACCGTGCCCATAATTGAACGAGAAGTCCGCATCCAGCCGACGGCTCAACCCAGGACCATGTCCCCCCGCGTCGATCCAACCGACCCCTCCACCAATGCACACAGGCGCCAACAACACCTCTGGATACCTGAAGCAGCGCTTCCACTGGAAAAGACGACGGGGGGGAAAGCCATCCCTTTTCGCCTTCTTGTGGGTCATATTCGGCGTCATCGTCGTCGTTTTTGTTGGGCCTGCTGTTGACTGCTGCGAGCATGGCTCGGGTCTGGCCTTCGAAGTCGTCGATGGTGATGGAGGAGAAGCCCTCGGCTATCTCGCGGCGGGTTGAGGGGAGCAGCTGCGGCGGCCCACCGCGCTGCTTCTTCCACACCTTGGGGAGGATTCGTTCGGGGTTATCGGGGGCACACTCAACCGTAGAACAAATCGGTGATAATTTCGCATCTTCCTTTTCACCTTGTCGGTATTTGCGTGCTTGTTGCCTTTGCTGTTGCTGCTGTTGTCAATTCTTCCGTCTTCAAGGAGACAGTATCGTCATCACCTTCTCTCCAGCATCACCTGTCGCATGCTACTCCACCCGGGCAAGAAACAAGTGCTGTAGGGATTGCCTACAAGTGGTTCCTTCGCATCCTGGGGGAGAATGAGTGCCTGCTAGTCTACAACCAGAATCAAAAACTCCACGTGGAGGCGAACGAGGTACCTCACATGGTGGTATTGGTAACGCCATGCGAGCGGGCAACATGGTCATGAAACTGAATAGCAACCCCCGTGTGACCACAAAAACGTCCCAAGACCGTCGCAACCAGTATTTATATCAAGGACGGTAGGGATCTTCGACGGCTGGAAAGCCAGCCAAAGTTATCTACCACTTTCGGGAAACGAGGAGCACGATCAGAAGCACACGTGCCCCGACGCAATAGACTTGCCTTCCACAGGCGATAGAGAGCTTCGAAAACTAATTCTTGCGTGCGGTGGTCAGCGATCGAAGCGAGCGTCGAAGCCGACTTGAGGAACCCCTGAAGGAGCGTCTTGCTGGATCGAACTTCCTTCGCGAGCTCCTTCCACAGGCCTGGCGAACTCTGGTCCCGTTTCGACCGGGGGCAACGGTTCACGGGACGAGTGGAAGAGAGAAATGGTAGCATGGTGACAACTATAACAGCACAAATGGCATACACGTGGTGTCTCGCGTGAGGAAAAAGTTCGTGAGCACGCAGACGCAAGTACGACACAGCAACAGTAGGAGTTAGAAAAAAAGCTGAGAGGGAGGATACGATATTCGTGCGCTACATGAGCAACAACAGCCAAATCTTTCAGCTGCAGCGGAATCTCACGTCGCAAAACGCCACTAGGGCAGACCCCGCCGCTCTCTGGGCCCCGGACCCCGCCCTGTTGTCCTGCACGATGCCCAAAAGGGCAAGCAGTAATGCCGGCCGGCGAAGGCCTCGGTGCAGATCCGCGCTTGCCGTGTCGGGCAGATCTGCATAACGGTTTGAGATTGGCCCGGCACCCAGAAATGACGGGAGAGCGGGGGGGGAAGACAGCCAGGACTGATTCCTGATTTTTCGTGTGGTGCCGTTTCGTTGTTCATTGAAGGATGCTCTTGCTGTCAGCCCCTTCGTTATTGCTGAGGGTTTCAGAGCTGAGGGCTATTTTACCGTCGAGCACTCCCGTACGTGTGGTGCACTTCCTCGCTCGGTTTCTCTCTCGCTCCCATTCATTTTTCGGAACGAGTGCCGCGTGGATTGAAGTGGGACAATCGAACAAACACATCCGGAGGTTACGGCAGGAAATATGTTATTGTTTCGGGGATGGCCCCGACTTCCCTTGGTATCTGCACACCACTGACCAGTCTGAAGGACTTTCGAAACGCACAGTCCCGCCGCTCGAAGAAGGCGTTTCTTGGCGGAGAAGTCAAGGTTGCTACCACGGCTAGCGCTGGTGGTGCGGAGCTTGCCAAGTGCTCGGGCCAGGCCCGAAGCAAAAGCGCTGACGCTTCCTTGGGCGTCGCCAGCGAGGAGACGATCCTGGACAATCTGGCGACATAATTGTTGTAGGCACTGTAGCAAATTAGGGGCTCACGGGCTCACCGTGGTAGGACTTCACCCATATGGCACCGCAAAAGTCCTGGCACCACGGGGGAAATACTGGGTACGTTGACGAAAGCCCGATTGCAGCAAAGCAGATCGACGTCGACAAAGCGATCGTACGTGGCAAGGCTAGCGCCGTACGATCGTAGCAAGGCAATAGTTATGAAGCAAGAAGTAAAACGCTAGGGGGCGGCCTCTAAAGAGCTTTTGAGGGCCGGTAGAGGCCATTCGGAGTGAAATCATATGGAACGCCACAATTTTTGCAAGCTGCTCGGTTGATGCGCGACCGCCAACTGGTCACCCAGCATGCGGTCCTGATCCGCATCAAGATCTTTCAGCGTCATGAAAGCAGTTCCCTTGTGCAATGATCACATGCAGGCAGTATGAATAGAACATTCAAGTGTTCCTCGTCGTTATTCTTCGCTGCCCTGACATCGCTATTGTACTGTTGCCACTCGTACCGTTATAGAAATACTTTTCGACGCAAAATTGAAGTACGCAGTCCAAACGTGCGTTGAATGCACAGTCGGCTTTCTGCCCGTGTGGTACACCCACTATTAGTGCATGCTCTTCTGCCATCGTGACACATTTATGCCTGGGCCAGATGAGAACATACCTGGGCTGTCCGTGTCGGTGTCTTCCCCTCGTTCGTGGGATGAAAGTAGGAGATGAACCACGCAACGTTATTCATACATTGCAGGCTCACATATTCAGAGTGAAGTTCCTCTTGGGGAATGAAACTCCGGGATGGAAAAGTGAAAAACTGAAAACTGCTGTCTTGCGCACAAAGAAAATAGTGAATCTGAAAAATGGTGAGATGTACGTCACAATGTGTGGGCCCAGCTGCTGATGAAGGCATCTTTTTCCGTGCCAGGTAGACTGCTGCTGGCCAAATGGTAATGCCGTAGGTGTGAAAATCCGTACATCGCCCCCCTTCACACATCAGCAGGAGATGGACACCGACCACACCGGACGCGGGCAACAACAGCGATGAAGTCGATATATTGTAGCTAGTCAAGCTCCGCCCCTGACTCTCTTTCTCCCTCTGGGTCGCCCGCATCGTCATCGTGTACGCACCCGGAGCACGCCGGTGGACTTGGACTGGCAAATAGCCTGCACCAGGGCTGGCGTGGCCTCGTCATCGGAGCAGCATCTCGTCAAGAGGTCAACATCATCAGTGGAGAACAAGTTCATCACGGCGTCGGTCTTCTTGTGCCGAAAAACACGCACACAAAGAAGGATCCTGCGGAGACCAAGCGACGCGAGACGACGCAGCGAACAATAATGTGGGGTCAGCAAGCAGACGACCGATTAGTAGACTTGCTGATGTAATCTCCTTCTCCCGAATGGTGCATTTCATTTTTATTAATGTGGGAAGGGGTGATGCGGACGACATGGACGACACGCCGCATCCATCCTTGTTTGAGGCAGTAGCCTTTGATGTCTCTGTTGATGAGGTCAAGCAGAGGCAAGGTGGACAAGATAGACGAACGCGCAAGTCAAAAAGAGGGAACAAGGAGCACCAACGGACACGCGTTACCTCGCTCGTACACGTTGTCTGTCGCACAGGTTCCTCAATCACTTCGACCTGCGACAAGGTCTGCTGCTGATCGGCAATGACTTTCGATCGGGGGGCTCGCAAATGGGAAACCAAGGTACTCACATTTTCAATATCGAACCTGCGTATTCGCCAACACAACAGAGTCTACTAGTCTAGCCGGGGGGAGGGCCACAGCAGCAGCCAGAGCAACCACGCTCGATCAACAGGAGAAAGACAAAGGACATGGTGCCATCAAAGATGCGGTCTTGGTCCTCCTTGCTGGCTGTATTACTCTCTATTTCCCTCTCTCAAGGGTTCATTCTGTCCCCGGCGGGCCTCCGCGCCTCGGTTCATGCACCTGCTGGTGTGCGGTCCAACCGCGCTTCTTCATGTTTCCGAGGTGGCAAGCATAGCAATTGTGGTATCTCCATGCAGGATGCGGCTACGGCGGAGGAAGACTCGGTAGCGGCGAAGGGAGAGCTTGCTTGGGCCGAAAGCCAATTCCCCGGCTGCTCGACGGTGCTATCCAAGGTGTGTGTGGGATTGTGCTGTAGACTGCCGTACCGTTCAACAGCCGTTGTCACCTGCTGCTTGCCGCTCTATCAACCACCACATAGCATACACTTGCTGTGCATCTCCGGCCATTTTCCTCTCGCAAACAGCTTGCATGCACACCACCTTGTAGTCGCAATCATCTATCGGAAGTGGACGAAGATCGCTTGCAAGATAAAGCTAGTTTTTAAAATTGAATGTGTATCACCTCAACCCTTTGACCGCACCTGTTCGTTTCAACACTGGACGGTGAACAGCCACCTAATGCAAACCACCACCCAACAGCGCATGGCCGGTAACTCAAAAAGGGGGGCGTTGGAGGTGTATTACTGGCCTATTTTCGTGCAGGGGTTGCAAAAGGGGTCGTATTTGCAAGCGCAAATGGTTGGTCGGCCTGCGCCACTCACGTGTCAAGTGCTGGTTGGCAACTTTTCAAAACTTCGACACGACGGTAACTATCCACCGCAGCAGCAGTAGTGAATCTCCACTGCTATCTACAGTATCCACAGCAGTAGCAACATTGTTCAAGGGTCCAACACGACCTGTAAACTTAATTCACTACTGCTGTTGTTGTAAATTACTGCAAGTACTGAACGTATTCCTTCTGAGAAGTTGTCTCGAAACGGGTAACTCTTTCTGTGGCGTCATGATGACGGCATGATGCATGTTGTCTCGAAATGCCAGACAAGGGGGGAGGAAGAGGCAAAGTACTCCAAACCGTTAGCTGCTAGATACGATAGTAGACCTCGGCATGTGCGTACTGAACAGGATCACACTCTCCAACTGTGGCATGGAACGTTTCCCCCAGTTCTGCCCCGGGTAGACTGATGTAGACGCCACACAAGCGGTGTGGCGGACACCGGGCCAGCGGATGTCCTGTCCCGATTACCATCCTACAGTTTCTCTGTCCCCACGAAGTCACATATATACATTATCCAACTTCCAACCTCTGTGATCCGCGCAAGGTGTAGTATGGATAAGAAACTCTTGTCGGTGGTGTTGGTCTTGCATCGGAAGTTGAAGTTTATCGGTGTCCAAACATGAAACGTCCTGTCCTGATGACCATCCTGCAGGAACCATGTCGTACGCGGTGTTTTCTCGCCCTGTGAATCCATCACTCTTTGATCTGTGGATGCCCGGTGGATAGGAGGAACCATGCCGTAAACGGTCCTGCCTCGGAACTTGATCTGGACCGGTGTCCTACCATGTGCTGAACGCTTAAAGTGAAGGCAGCGTGTGCAGCAGAAACGGCCGAATGAGAATCTCATTGATCAGGCGGCATCTGTCCGCCTCACCGATTGAAACACGGTGGTGGAGGGTAGGACAACCCCTCGTTATTGAAACCGTAGACTCCCAAAGCCCGATAGACGACCGGTTTGACTCCCTAGCTTGTCGTTTTTTGTTTACCACCAATTACTGCAGCAGCATTGCAGCAAGTGCTATTTGTCGTCAACCCGTGGCTCCGGCATGCGGTGTTGCGAGTGCTTTCTTTTGGTATGTGTGTAGTGTAGTACAGGATCTCGCGTCGCTATGTGTGCTTCCGTACATCCACTTTGCACCCTGAGGCTAATGCTATGCCGTTTCTTTTTCTGCTAGACGTTGCTGGCCATTTTTTGGTGGATATCCTACAGGTGTGCCATTTCACAGACCTTCCGCAATCCACCCGTGTAGCCGAAAGCAGGCACGCGCACACATTTTTAGTCCGGAGGCTTTGATCCTGTCGTCGGATATACTCCGCGGGGCCCCCCGCCGATGGAGCCCGATGGTCTGAAGGAATACTCCCGTTTTCGGCCCGCCAGATGGGGACTCACCTCTTTTCATGGATATACCGTTTTCGTGATCGATGCAAGTTTAATGGACTAATCATGCGCCCAACACAAACACGTTCCATGTTCAGCAGGTTGGCGCAGTTGATCACGCTTGTTTTGGTCGGCCGGCTAGGACGGTTGATGCTATGAAGATAAAAACAAACACACGCACACACATGAAACGCTTTGCCTGACACTTGTCGTGTACCTCCATCGTACTAGACCAAGCGCCTGTTGGTGCTTTGCACACACAGCAACACTTGCAACATTGCAGCAGGGCTCGAGCAGCGAGTTTTGGAGGCGTGTAGCTCACAGGCTAGCAAACAGTCAGCGGCAGCGATAGATGCAGAAAGTGCACAGATGTTCGAAGGGGCATGCCGCCCGCTAAGCTGATTTAACGCACTCGCAGAATATCCATGTATTTCAATGAAGAGGCCAGGTTATTTATTGGCTTTGGGCGGCGAACAGCACAACAAGGGTAATCGTTCTGGCCGCCCTTCCAGCTTCTCGTGTACGACCGTGGTATGGTTGTCGCTCTTGCTTGGATGCCCCCGCCCGGTCTTGTTTCTAACCTAACCGTCTCCTGCACAAGACCTGATCCGTGTAATGTTTTGACGTGTCCCCATGTTGTTTTCGACAAAACGCGGATGAACACAGGCGACGAGACTGTCAGGTCTGCTCGCGGACGTGTGGGAGACCCTGGCAGATCCATCAGCGGTAGAGGCGGAGCGGCCGCGAGTCTTGATGTTTCCGGACTGTCCAGCGGTAGCCGAGGCGCGAGGCCTTCAGAATTTATACGAACACCTTGAGGTACGGCAGTAGTACTTGGAGAAGATCTAGTGGAGGGTTCCTCAGTGCCTCCAGCACCTGTGCGACCATTGCCACGTGCGGTAGTGGCAGAGGGATGTTTTCTTGAATCTCTCGTCGTCGTTGCGTTGGTTCATTTTTTTGTGTTTTAGGGTCGCTCCCCTGAACTGTCGCTTCATGCTGCTGTTTCCTGGGTAATGTTCGCTGCTGGCGAGCTTTGGTCTTGCCTTTGGTCTTGCCGGTGAATCCCCCTTGAGATAAGTGAACTTCCTTCCCACCTCACGTTGAACACGGTGAGAACTTTACCCGCGGATGTAACCCCATATTGTGCGGCAAGCTCGCGGCAATATTGCCCCCCTCAGCCTCTTCGTGTAGGTGCCCGACAAACTCATTCAGACACAAGCTCACCCCGGGAGGTGTTCCTCGACAGCCGCAATCACGTATCCCCCGCCATTTCGTTGGTTGTTCAGGTGTGCCAGGACGCTTGCGAACAGTTCGGAACGATGGTGTCGATTGTCCCGCATCCCAGGGGGGGAAAGAACGGTGCGCCCGCTCCCTCGCTAGTGGTGAGAGAGAGATTGGTGGTGGCGACGGCGGTGTGGGCCTCTCGCCGTGTGGTGATGGCCCGCGGGGGGGGGGGGGGGGGGGGGGGGGGGGGGGGGGGGGGGGGGGGGGGGGGGGGGGGGGGGGGGGGGGGGGGTGCGGATTCGTTTCCGAATAATTTTTTGTGGATCTTGACCTTGGGGGCGATGCCTTGGGGATCTACTTTCATGTTTTTGTGCGCTGTCTTCCGTGAAAGCGTGCCGTTGGTATTTCGACATTTTTTCTTTTGACCGGAATTCATGGTCGTTGTGGAGTGGCATTTATCATCCATAGTCCTCCCGTGGCCGGAGCCAAAAAGTGCTCGTCGCGACCGATTCATCCCGCACGGTTTGTCGTTGTCCCGTACCCCGTCCTGTGTTTTACCGGAACGGTAGATGCGTGACCCTTTGTTTCTTTGGTTCCGCACCCCGCGTCCCGGATTTCACTGGAACGCTTGCATGCTTCATTTGCTTCTGTCGTTCCGTATCCCGTCCCGTGAACTCGGCGGGTTAAAGGTTCAAGTCGTGCCCGGCGCCGGCGGGGGCGACGACTTCGGCTACGATCCCGATTGGGACGACGACTGGGACATCGATCGCAGCCTCCTCGACGACGACGAGGCAGAGGGCGAGGGGGCCGCCGGAGGGGATTGGGACGAGGATGGGGTGGTGCGGGTGGACGCGGCGGCCTTGGGCGTGGTGCCTTCGTCGGACGAGGAGGTGCAGGAGCTCACCAAGTCATGGGTGCAGGCTGGTGAGAGATGAGAGCGAAGGAGACCGGGGGGG